GCATCTCTCTCCTCTCTTTTCTCTTTTCTCTCCTCTCTCTCTCTCTCTCTCTCTCTCTCTCTCTCTCTCCTCCCCCCCTTTCTCTTCCTCTTCCTTCCCTCCTTCCCTCTCTCTTTGAGACAGAGTCTTGCTAAGTCATCAAGTTGCCCAGGCTGGACTTGAACTTCTGATCCCTTGGCCTCAGCCTCCCAGGACACTGGGAATACAGGCGTGGGCCACGAAGCTAGTCAGTATTTCCACAAAAAAGGAGCCTTCAAGTTTCTGCAAAGTAATCAGGGTGATTTCTGTCCCAGCTCATGTGTCAGGCACTAAGCGGAGCGAAGGTAGAGGGAGACTAACAATGTATGGTCGATCTGGGCGGCCTCCAAAACAAGGGATTTCTGTGTGCACTAAGAGCAAGAGAAGCTAGGCGGTCTCTGTAGATTTTTTTTTTCCATAATTTTATTGAGAAACAAATAGCAATGAGACAGTTTCAAACCAAACTGGTGGATTTTTTTTGGTAACAGGGCCCTCACATCGCACCCACATTCTGCATCGGTAGTTTTATCAGTCTCGAGACAGATCTGCTGTAAAAAGCGCAATGTAGAGAGGTGGCATGTACTGTTCTAGGAAGGGACTCATGCGTTGTTCTAGCCTTCTGTCCCATCATGGAGTCCCTGACTGTCTCACATGACCTTCCTCCAGGACCATCCTTCTCCCGCTAAGACTTCTCTCTCCCTGGCTGAGGTTGTCACCACCCCCAGGGTCCCTGCCTGAGCCAACTCACAGGTCCTGCTGCCTATCCAGGGATAGGCCAAGCTTGATCCTTCCAGGGCCAGCCCAGTGTGGCAGGAGAGGGGGTATAGAGTGGGCTACCCCCAGGGAGGCAGGGGAAGCATTTCTGTTGGTTTTATCTCCCTCCTATCCTCTCGGCAGTCTCCAAACTGTGTTACAACGCACAAGACACCGTGGTGAATGAAGCCGTAGTGAAGACAAACTTCGACCCCCAGGGTGAGCAGCTACATTGAGCCACGGACAGGAGGGGGTGAGCACGGGCAGTGAATGTGGGGTCGTGGGAGCTGCCGCTGGGCTGACTCAGGCTACTAACCTCTCACGCACAGAGCAATGTATCCAGAAGGCTGCCGAGGGCTTTGGCCAGTACTACTATGCGGAGGAGCTGGATGGGCAGCTGACTTGCGTGACCAGGTGCACCCAGGGCTGGAAGGGGCACCTCAACTGCAACCTGGGAGAGTGCCAGCTGCAGCGCAGTGGCCCCCACTGCCTGTGAGTGTCCCCTGGGTCCAGAGGACTCCCGCTGCTCCCCACATTCACAGAGCCAGGGTGGGGTGGGCAGAGCTAAGAAGATGACTCATCCTGCTCCTCTATATTCCCTCATCCCCCAACCCCAACCTCATGAGAGTGACAGGAGGGCGCAGATTAGAGATTTGCCCCTCAGCAAAGCAGCAAAGCTAGCTGCTTCTTGGGGTGGCGCGGGAAGCTCTGTTTCATTTCTACCATCTCTCTCTACCCACACCCTCGTTTTTCTCTTTCTCGCTTTCTCATTAATTTCCCCTCCCTTATCTCAGCTGAGGTTTCTTTATCAGCTATAGCAGGGGCCTACATGCTCAATTTCCCGAGATCATAAATTAAATTGCAAAATAAAATACACGATAACAAGCCCATCCAGATGTCAAAGTTTGAGATTAGATAGGTAAACATCACATGTCTGGCAGGAGGTGCCCAGCTCTCTGGGATCCTTCTGAGCTCCTGTCACTCTCGATTCCTGCTCCCAGAGTGCCCCAGCCTCTCCTTGCCCTGGGGATCCAGAACCTGCCCTCAGGGCATGGGCCACCTAGTACCTGTGCTTTGTGACTGACATTGGCCTTTGGGAGGCCGGTGTCGGCATGTCAGGGGCTGAGCTTGTGCTTGTGTCTCCAGGTGCCCAAACACAGACTCGCACTGGTACTGGGGGGAGACCTGTGAGCTGACTATCAGCAAGAACCTCGTGTACGGCCTGGTGGGCGCCGTGCTGGCCGTGCTCCTGGTCATTGTGCTGACTCTGGCTGTCTTCCTTGGTCGATCCCAGAGGAGACTGCACAGGTGAGCACGTGGGGCCAGCATGTGGCTTGGAGAGTAGACACAGAGCTGGTGCAGGAACCCCAGGTGGCCCCTGGCCACTGAGGTCAGATGGGGTACTGCCAGGTTGCTTCCAGTAAAGTACGATAGGCCACACCTGTTCGGCAGAGAAGTGGAAACAAAAGCTTAAGCACTGAAATTAGATTACACAATGACATTACCTGCGGTTGATGTCACCTGGGCTGTCACAGAAGCCATATGAGGAAGTGGGGACTGAGCCATTTGGGTCCCCACCCTTCTCCTTCCTTGGGCTGGGCTGACAGTGCAAAGGAACCGCCGTGAAGTCTGCTGGGGGCAGTGAGGGGCATCTGGGAAGCCGGGTCAGTGCCCTGGGAAGGGAATCTGCTGGCCTTGCTCTGCCTTCTCTGCTGCCAGTGCAGAGGACAGGGCCCTCTAGGACGCAGGGTGTGGCTGGGACACACCCCTTCTCCTGGGGGAAGCTCAGACCTCCACATTCACCCCATTTCTGTCGACAGCCAAGAGTACAACCTGTCTCAAGAGTGGCAGAAAGAAGGTCTCCCTGGCAGCTTCCAGAACACGGGCATTTGGGAAGGTACCTGCGGTTGGGGTGGGGGTGAGATCGTGGCGTGGTGTGCGGCTCTGTGGCCACAGGATGTCCCCCCTTGCCATGGACACGGCCACAATGTCTTACATGTGCTGCGGTGGCCTGGTCTGTCTGCCTGCCTTGACAACACCACAAAGCCCCAGACAACCCTCAGCCTTTTCTCAGCCTCTGCCCATCAAATTCCCAAGGCCTGACCACCTTCCCTTTCTCCCTCCTATTTGCCTTCAATCACCCCATGCTGTTGTCTGGAGTGTTCTGCTCCCTGCCATGGGCAGCAGCTGACGGGGACAGGCTGGCATTGTGGGCTTCCGTGTGGTCTCCCTGAGCTCAGTGCCCTCTGGCTTCAGCTCTTTCAGGCTCCTCCAGCTGTGTCTGTTGGGATCTCTGTTTGCACAGCTTTCCCCACTGAGCCCAGATTCCTGCCTGCCCAGTTTCTCCTGATACAGTAGACAGCATCCTGGCCAAGGGTCTTGGGATGACAGAGGTTGGAGAGTTCTCCAAAGAGTTGAGTCTAATTCTTTGAGCAGTGAGTCAGAGGTGACTTGTGCCATGAACTGTCCCATTGGGACAGGGAAGGGGCACCCAGACAAGGGGCACTGCACAAGCAAAGGCTTCAAAGTGGAGGGAACTAAAGGCAACAAACCCCAAATAATGAATTGTGGGCCAGGAGGTGGGAAGAGCCAGGTCATGCCAGACTTTGGGGCCAGGCTGACTGAGCTTTGACCAAAGAGGGCTGGATGTGTGCTTGAGCAGCGCCCTCAGATGGGTCCTGGCGAGGCATTCGGAGGTGAGCAGGGGTGCTGGAGGACAGGGAGGAGTCTCGGGGCTCTCAGGTATCCCAGAACCAGGAGTGTGGGATCACTAGCTGAGATGAGTGTCTAGGGGGAGAAACAGGAGGGATTGAACTAGGAGGTGCTTCTCTGAAGGGCCTGGAGGTCAGCAGCCTGCGGCTGAGGGGGCCTTGGAAGAGAGGCAGGTGGGGAGCCAGCCAACAGGGAGGGAGGCAGGTGAGGGTTTGCGGGACTGAGGAAGTCAATTTGGCACCAAGAAGAAGACAAGGACTGGGAGCTGGTTCCTGGTTGGGCTCTGAGTGCTGTAGTTACTGTTGCCAACAGGGAGGGTGAGGGCTCCTGTTGACTCAGAGGCTGCCTGGGCTTCACCCAACTCCGCACCTCTCCTTATCTGTGATCACTGCTCCATCAGGCCCTTGGCTGTGGTCTGCGCTTTCGAGGCTGGCTTCTTCCCTCTGCTTCCAGCCTGTCCCTGGGGCACACTGGGCCAGTTTTTGGGCCCATTCTAAATCTTCCAAGACATCATGGGGAGAGGGCAGTGAATGGAGGGAGGATCTGCTTCTTTTTTCTGAAGCACCTCCTCCACTTCTTGTGTCTCCCAGACTCCTCTGGCTCCCTCTCACCCCATACCTCTGCCCACAGATAAGAATCTGCAGGACAGATATGGCCTGGAGAATGTCTACAGTCACTTCCAGCCCTCACTGGAGACTGTCAACCCTATGGCAGAGGTGACACATCTAAGGCCAGCCCAGCCCTATGCCATCCTTGAACCCTGGGGCTTCCCTGCCCAGCCCTGGGGCTCCCACTCCAGTCCTGGGACTGCCCCTTGGGCCTCACTTTCCTCTCCCTCTCTCCAGCTCCATTTTCGGAGGCCAGAGGTGGTGCAGACAACTCGGTGAGGGGAACAGAGGCTCCCACCCCTCATGTAGATTTGGACCAGAGTTGCCGAGAGTCTACCATGAACTCTGCTGGTGGTCAAGAGGAATGTGATGCTGAGCTCAGGTCCATGCACAGATGACCGATTGGCCTGCGATCTGCTGCAGCCAGCTGGAAAGGCCACGGGGGGTGGGGGGGTGGAGTGGGGGAGTGGTGAGGGGGTCTGTCTGCTCCTTTACTCTCACCCCCTGCCCAGGAGCTCGAGGCTACCAGAACCCTTGGCATCTTTGTTTGCCCTTGGGCTTCTCTCCACTGTGGAATTTCCCCAAGAATAAAAGCAACTCTTAAAGAGCACAATGACATTATCATTTTCCTTCTTTCCCCTGCAGACCGTGGAAGTGGGGGGCAGGCTGCAGCCTGCATTTGGGGTGTTGGGGTTGTCTGGGGCATCTTTAGTGTGGCACCAGGATAGTGGTGGTGGGGTGGGAGGAGAGTATTGTTCTGCTCCCCTGGAGCTGAGCTAGGTCCCCCTCTCTGAAGTCTGTGGCATACAAGCCCACAATCAGGGCCTGGGAACAGGAGTGAACCTCAAGGTCAAGGAGTGAGGGGTGGGAGCCCTGAGGGGACACTTAGCTCTGCTGACCTTGAGGCTGTACAAGGTCACTCCAGGTGGTCGTGGGGGGCTGTGTTCACCTCTGAACCTCAAGAGCTCCCAGCCACCCCAGCATTGGGACTGACTCAGCTGTGGCTGGAGTTGTACCCCATGTCCCACTGGGTACCCACAGGACACAAAAAGGTTTGAAAAAGGGGTATCCTCACCAGCAGCTGGAAGATCTTCTCCCCTGCTCGGTCCTGGCCCCTTCTGGCTACCTCATCCTTTCCCCAGGGGTGCTGGGAGGCTTACATCCTGTCTCTGCACTGCTTTGGACCCTGTGCTACCCCTCTATTAGAGTGATAAATCTCACTGTTTGCGTGTTTGTGCACTGCTCGGCCATGGAGGGGAACCCCTCCCTCTGCCCTTTGGTCCGGCACAAACCCCACACCCCAAGTCCAGGGAGAAGCTCCTAGATTGACTCAGGTTACCATTGGTCCCCAGCTCCTCAGTGTCTCAGGGATCAAAGGTCTCCGAGCCCTTTTATTTTTGGGGTTCCCTGGCTGCCATTCACTTTACCAGCTTGTGCGAAGGACGAAGGGCGGGCTCGGCCTTCCGTGTACCAGTGCAGATGCGGGCGACAGCAGCCTTCTTCCTTCTAGCCCTCGTCCCCCAGCTCCTGCCTGATGGTGCTGCCGGTGCTGAGCAGGGTGAGTGACTGCGATCCCACAGGCGAGCTCCAGGGTCTGCCTCTCTCCCTGGAGCCTTCTCTCCCCGGACTCCTCTCTCTGCCCAGGGAGCTGTAGGAGACCTGCAGGGCTCCCCCCTCCAAATTGTCCCTCCTCAGAGGAGAAGCAGTAATGCCTGTTTGGGGTCTGGCTGCATGAGGATTAAACAGAACCCCCAGATGCCATCCCAGAGCAGATGCTCAGCCAGCATTAGACCTGGTCCTTAACCTGATGAACAAACATCCAACCCCCTCTACCCTCTGTCTCCGCACCTAACGCCCCAGGGCCAGACACCTGCCTCTCAGGTTCTCAGAGTGTGATTTTTGTGGGTTGTGTTTTTGTTTTTGAGACAGGGTCTCACAATGTGGTTCAGGGTGACCTTGAGCTCACTTTGGAGCTCACACTGGTCTCCTACTCATGAATCCTCCTGCCTCAGCCTCTCGAGTGCTGGGATTACACATCTGCCTCTTCTGCCTCTTGACCTGACCGTTTCTTTTTCTTTTCTTCTTTCTCCTTCTCCTTTTCTTCTGCCTCTGTCTTTATCCCTCCCCCCCTCGCACTGATCCCAGGGCCTTCATACTGAGCTGCCTCATCAACCCTTTTAAAACATTGACACAAGATTTTGTGAAGTCACTAAATTGACCAAACTGGACTTGACTCTATTGTCCCCTGCTTCAGCCTCCCAGAGTATTGGGATTAGAGATTTCCCACTTTTGTGGCCATTTCTACATTTCTCACCCTTGCCTTCTGCCCTGAGGGTGTCACAGGACTGTGGCCAAGACAGGCTTCAAGAGCCTAATCTTGCCATGAGCCAGCTGTGTGCCGCACAGCCACTCTGTTATCTTTGGCCTCAGCTCGCTCCCTTGAAAGCAAGAGCCGGGACTACTAGGGATGATTCTAAGTTAGTAGCTTTGGGCTCCAGGCCTTGGGGACCAGGCTCGGGACAGCAGGATGTGGTAGTGGGAGCTCCCCCTTCCCTTGCTGCCCCTAGAGAAATCAAGGCTAAAACTGAAGCCACAGGCCCAGCCTCCACATGGAGGTGTCATCTTGGGAGAGAAGAAAGGGGACTTGGGGCCACAGTGGAGCCTCTTGCCCCAGCCTCGAAAATGTCATTCTCCTGGGTCTGTCCTGGACTTGGTCCTCTCTGAGCTCCTATTTCCAGCAGCATTGGGGAACCCTGCCCCAGCCCCTTCCTGACCAGTTCTTCTTAAAGGAGGAAACAAGAAGCATTTGAGCATAATTCCTGGCCCCCCAGGCCTCTGATGGTGGCCTGTGTGTCACAGCCATGGCCTCAGTTAGTGAGAGGCTCTTCCCAGGTCCTTTGAATCCTTTCACCCCACTATCTTCTTTTTGTCCTTTCTCCCTTCCCTCTTCCTGGGTCCTCTCCAGCTCCTCCCTTCTTCTTCTGTCCACTTCTTCCTTCCCTCCTTGACCTCTCCCCATCCTGCTTCAGTCAGCTGTTGCCTCAGTCTCCCCCTCTGTAAAATGGGACTTTCGAGAATCTGCCCCTGCTCTGTGTGATTTTGTGTTTTCCGCCCTCTCTGGGCCTGGGTCAGCTTTTTTTCCCCCCAAGGGTCAGCTTTGAGTGACCTCTGAACCTTGCTATCATTCCCTCTCCAAGGACAAAAAGCCCCACCCATCCTTAGACCACTGAGCTGGAGATGCCAGGACAGGGTGTGGCTGCCCTCTCACCTTTCCGAGTACCTGATACTCAGATATATATGACTCTGATATATATGACGTACCAACAAACACAATGTCCCCTGGGCCAGCCCAGCCCTCTCTGCCTTGGCAGGAGACCTCTGACCTCCACACCCAGCATAAATGTGACCAGGGCCTGGTCCAATGCATGTGACCTTTGCCCTCCCTGACCTGCCCTGTCTTGGGTCCTGTGCCCATGTTTGTCCCACCTCCAGCTTCCTCTTGAGAAATGCTAAGGCCCATGTCTCCAAGGACTGGTGTGTGGGGCCCTCCTGAGACCCTGCGAGACCCTTCCTTAACTCCTCTTTGGTTACACCCACCCCTGTAACCACGATGCCCACAGAGAGGCTGCCTCTGCTTCCCGGGGCTGCTCACATTGCTGGCTGCCTGGAAGTGCCCACTTCCTGCCTCACAGTTCTGGACAGGCATCTAGGTTCCTGGGGCCAGCAGGGTTAAAGGTGGCAGGGAAGGTCCATCCCAGGGGACTGTCGTAGCCTCAGGGCACAGCTGGCCATGCTGTATCCGTTGGCAAGAGGACACGCCCGATTCCTACCTTCTCTTCTGGCCACTCTCCCTGCGTGTACCTGTCTTTGGGTCTCCATTTCTCCATTCATAAGGAAATCCATTGGTCCTGTCAGCGACCTTAGTTTAATCTGATTCTCTGTATAAACCGTTTCTCCAAAGAAGGTCACCTTATGAGTGATTGCGGAAATGGCTTCAATTCAATCCTTAACAGAAAGAAAAGAGAGGCAACCCTCAGAGGGCAGGGAGCGGCTTTATTTTTTATTTTTGTAGTGTCGACGATGTAACCTAGGGTCTCATAGGTGCCAGGCAAGTGCTGTCCTGCTGAGTTGTGTACCCCAGCACTCTGGAGGCACAGTGACTTTTTAAAAATAGTTGCTAGCTGGATGTGGTGGTGTATGCCTGTAATTCCAGCACACTGGGAGGCTGAGGCAGGAGGATCAGAAGTTTGGCCACAGCCTAGGCAAATTAGGGATTTAGTGAGACCCTGTGTCAAAATAAAAAATAACAAAGAGTTGAGAAAAAGGTAGCTCTGTGTAAATGCTATGGGATCAACTCACTGTACTAGAAAAAAAAAAAGAATTGATAAACTGGATGTGGTGATTTATGTCTATCGTCTATAACCCAGCATTAAGGAGGCTGAAGCAGGAGGATCTTGAGTTTAAGGCCAGCTAAATAGAAAGATTTCCCTAAAAAAAAGAAAGATTGCTAATAGCCAGAAGGAAGAGCAAGGGAGGTGGTGGTGGGGGCAGTGAGTGGCCCCAGTGCCACTTCCTATTTCTCTGTGTCCCTTTATCTGCCCCCTACCCCATTTTCTCCAGTGGGGAGGCAGCTGCCTGTCTGCCCAGCCCTTTCGAGATCCAGATGAACTTCTTTTGGCCTCAGTGTGAACAATCCATTCTTCTGTAGTTGGTTAAAATTAAGGAGGCAAAATAAATTTAGTAAGGTCAAAAATAACCAACGTGAAATCCTCCAAGCAGCCCCAGCACACGGGACACCGGCCCTCCTTCTTGCCTCTCCTGCTGGAGGTCTGGACCCGTCTCTCCTCTCCACCCCCAGCCCTGTAGAACCTTGGACTTCCTTCACCCTTACCCTCTTCCCACCCATCAGGGACATTGGTGCCAGGGCCTTGGAGGCACAGAGGAGGACTCTGACCATGAACCCCGAGCTCCCAGAACAGCCCCATTGTACCCTTGGGAGCCAGGTCCAGGCAGAGAAGAGTGGGCTGGCTCTAGGGAGTTTTGCTGCCAGGCTGTCATACGAATGTCTGCTTCCAGTAGACATGTCAGGCCCTTGTAGTCACCATCACAAAGCTTTGCTTCCTTGTCCCCGACCTTGGCCACGACCTGAGTGACTCTGGGCAACTCACAGTCCGAGACGATGGGCTTGGTGCTAGATGGGTCTGGTTATACATTCTGCAGTGTAATACTTTCACTACAAGGGCAGAAGAGCATGAAATAAAGTACCAGCCAGGCACAGAAGTCAGCCCAAGAGATGGGCAAGTGGTAAAAAACCAGTCAGATCACATCTGTGATCTCAGCAATCAGTCTAGGAGGCTGAGGCAGGAGGATGGCAAGTTCAAGGCCAGCATGGGCCATTTAGTGACGAGGTGGTAGCTCAGTGCAAAGACTCTGGG